GCAGCATGGCTCTACCACGTACAAGTTACTTCGTCGATACGTCTTTGTTAGCTTTCCTTTTTTGCTCAACACATTATTGGTGTTTTGTTTAGAATGATTGCTGTGGACTACAGCAGATGATCAGTATTAACGTGAAATGTCATGAAAGGAACCAATTGATACGGTATTGTTGCATAGACGGGTATGTTCAGCAGTGGACTCAACCATTGAACTTTTTTACTTACTTTCCGTAATTGGTACCAATGTACAATATCAATAACCGTGACAACAAGACCACCATACAAACCGTGCAGTGGCGGTGTAAAAACGTCCACTACCCTATATCGTTCCGTAGGTTCCGTAAGAGGCGACAGAGCGAACTGAAACAGGAGATGGGCTGCAGCATCTACCTGATGAAAACTCCAAGTACTGGGGTTGCCAGCCGGGTGGCAACTATGTAAAAATCTCTTCCTATGAAGCAATCCAATGGAGGAGGCTTATGTTCGTGCGTGTTCCTTCTTTGTCGTGGTAGGTGGCCTTAGCCGTGACTTAGTCACGCACGGCGAAGAATGAGGAACTCTCTTGACTGGCACAAGGTTTAGGGCCGGCCTGAAGTGGCTGTACCGAGTGGCCTTGCCTAACCAACTACGAATGCGCGTTAGTGAACTGTGGCGGGAAGGTTGTTCTCTCTCCCTTCTCGCCGTAGTCGAGGTTGAAAAGCGAGGGCAGAGGAATGTTGGTATGGCGATGCGCCACTTACTCTATATTCCGCGACTTTGGCGCGGCAACGCCGCTGATTTCGTGGCGCTGAGGCCGAGGCTGCATTGGCCATTAAAGGATGTAAAGTTAATAATGATAATGATGGTACAATATCAAATAAAAAGTAATTAAATGTTGGCGATCAGCAGTGGAATCATTGACTACATTTCTGAATTAATTTGCACGGTTAGATTTAAATCACAATAAGTAATATATTGCAATATTACCTGGCAATAGTTATTAGATAATAAATAATAAAATTTTACAAATTTTTTCGATAGTTAATTAAGTATTATTTAATATTAATTATCGAAAAAAATAAATTTTTAATTTGCTCATATGTAAAAAGTTATATTAACTTCAAAAAACTAGTTCTATCAATCTAAGTATTATTGAAGTTTTATTATTTACTAGCGTTTCGCCCCGGCGTTGCACGGGTGATCTCTTCAGTTTTGAAACTATCCAGAGACCAATTCTAAAACACACAAACAAATTCATCAAAATCAGTCGAACCATTTTAGAGTTTTTGCGAAACTAACGGAAAGCAATTGATTTTTATATAAAGAGATTTTGTTCACCTACAAATGACACATTCATTCTTAAGCTAATTTCTAAAGAACAAAACTAAGCAGACATTTATAAAATGTATAAACTAAATGCTTACAAATTACAATACTTCTAAGAAATTTTTTAATTTATCAGATAAACATAAGTGCATTTCATAAAATAAGAAATCGAACGAATATCAAAAAAAAAAAATTGTGGACCCATTGAAATTACAACCAAAATAGGGAGTAAAAATAGTACTATCCTGCCACTATTTTGGTAATTTACGCCTTGTTCTATAGTAAAACTAAAGGTCAATTTGTTGCAAAAATTGTTTTAGAGGATCAAAAATTAGTAACTGCAGAGTGGTACACTAACAATTGTTTGCTACTTGTCTTGAAAAAAATTCGGGAGAAACAACCTCGCAGTAGGATCCTTCTTCACCACGATAACGTCTCGTCGCACACCGCCAAGGAAATAACCGACTACTTGGCGATGTCAGACGTGGAATTACTGGTTCACCCGCCCATAGCCCCGATCTCGCACCTTGCGTTTTTATTTATTTCCAAAAATAAAAGAAAAACTTCGAGGAAAACGTTTTATGGACGCCGAGAAAGCGGTTGCTGCGTTTCATGTCGTCAAATACCGTCGAAGAGAACCCTAAGGACGAGTGGGCAAAGTGTTTTCTCCGTGGTTCCATCAGATGCAGCGATGTTTTGATGTAAATGAACACGATTTTGAAAAGATATAATAAAACTAATAACTTGCTAGTTTGTTCAATTTTTATTTTCTAAGAACTTTTAGTGTCACCCTCGTAGTATTGTGACCAGAATTAAGAAAGAAATGCTTAGATGATTTGGTCATGTAGAAAGAATGAACGAGGAAAGAGTGACAAAGCAAATTTATATTGAAGATGTGAACGGTAGAGTCAGGACAAGACGCCCTAGACGAAGGTTTTTCGACCAAATTGGCCATACTCGTATATTTAAAATGGACCACATTGGGAGTACCTTTAATCGATTAGCGTGTGCGTGATATATTGATGTAAAGAAGGCCAGAGAGATGTGTCAGGATCGTGCGAAATGGAAGTCCGTAGCCTCTGCCCACCCCTCTGGGTGATAGGCGTGAGTGTTTATGTATTTATGTTTTATACAAAAACACTCACGCCTGTCAAATAACGTTTATTCGGATTTGAATTATACAAAAATAGACGAAGTCGTTTATAAAAGATTTTTAGTGGTTATTACCAAGTGCCAAGAATCTTTTACACGATTCTCTCTCGCAGAAACACGTCTATGCCTACAAACGGTACGAATGCTACGTATTCATGGATAGAGCTACGAAGTCTACGAGCTTTGTGGTGGAACAGAAACAACACCGTTATATTATCGCCTGCGAGAACTATAATTAAAAAAATACTTTTAATAAAAAATAAAAGATTATTTAAAAGGAACAAAAATAAAAAACACATAGTGAAGTCGGTGCTACGACATTGTGTATAGAAAAATTAAAGCGCCGACTACAGAAAGTAAAATCGTTTTATTCTCTTTAGTCATTTGAAGTCCGCGTTAACTTTTTATTAAAAGTTACTTTTAACCACTTTGAGCGCACCAAGGAGCATCACGATCTCAATATCGTCTAGATAGTTTATGAAAAAATTTATCTACTATTTCGCCACCTTGAGAGGTAGAATCCATCCACCAGTCACCCATACCATCTGGATGACTGGCGGTCCACCATGTGCGATTTAAAAAAAAAGCTTTTTTCCTCGCAGAACTTCCTTGTGAAATCGACTACCACCAGAGATTTTTCCGGACCGATACGACTCAGGGACCTTCAAGAAAAGAGCGTACTCGTTTTTAAAAGGACGGCAACGCATCTTGCAGTTGTTCATGGGCGTCGTTAACCGCATGCTCGTTTGCTTCTTCTCCTATAAAAAAAGATTTTTTCCCCAAATTTGGATCACAAGTGAAGTGTAAACTATTTAAATAAATTTAATAAAAAGGAAATCATTGATATCAGTTCACAATAATTGACGAAGATATTGAATATAATATTATAGAATACAAAAACATACAGTCTAATTGTGAACCTCCTACTTTTTATGGAATCAGCTAAAAGCGCATTTTTTTTAAATAATATAAATGATAAAGATAAACATACTTAATTTTTTTAAACGTTACGCCCACACTAGGATTTCCTCCTGTATCGTGGAGGCAGTCTACAAATAGTCATAAATTGAACAAGGACAAGCATCCAGACCCGAAACAATTACTTGTAGGCCATACAAATACTTGTTCCGTATGGGATTCGGACACGCGGCCCTCAGCGCTATAACTCATTACTAAGCTACTGCACCATGGGGCCGTCAAAATTATAATTATTAATAGAGTTATGTAATAAAATTAATTCTTTGACAAGTTAAACTATTTTAAAATAGATTGCCTCACAGGAGGGATATTTGCCATAGTTGCCACGCTTGGTAAACTGCATTTTTTATCATTTTCGGTTAATATCAGGATGAGGCTGCCCATATCTTGTTTCATCTTACCGTTATACTTACCGTCACAGTCAGTCAAAACTCCACAGCTGTACATCTTAATACATATAAATTACGTGTCACGTTGTTTGTCCACGATGGACTCTTAAACTACTTAACTGATTTTAATCAAATTTGCACATCGTGTGCAGTTTGGTCCAACTTGAGAGATAGGACACAGTTTTTTTGCTCATGAGTGACCCAATTTTTTTTGTTGTTGTTGCTAATTTAAATATTTTTGATAGGACATGACAAAGGGTCGTCGAAAAGCAAGCAAGCTAGTATGTATATAAAACTTTAAAAGATATGGTATTGCTTAATTGATTAAAACTACTCTTACGGATTTTATCGCGTTTATTTATTATAGATATGGCATTGCGACAAATTAAGACAGAAAGACAAAACGAAATTATTTACTTTGAATAGTTGTATCTATTGTAGCTTTCACAGAGGGTTATTTGTGCCACGGTGGTCACACTTGGCAAGCCGGTTGGCAACCGTACTATTTTATTTTTGATATTAAGCTATTTATTATGAGCCGTGGTAGCTCAGATGGTTAGCGCTCGCTGTAAATTGCACAGTACGCGAGCAAACCGGGTTCGATCCCCGCTGGCACCAATGAAATTGTTAATTGCAATTTTAAGTGCTAATTTACCACGTGCTCGGCGGTGAAGCAAAATATCGTGAGGAAACCTGCATGTCTGAGAAATAAGAAAAAAAAATTTCGAAGACTTGTGAAGTCCGCCAACACGCATTGGGGCAGCGCGGTGGACACTTCCTTGCCCTAATACCCTCTCAGAAATGAGAGGAGGCCTGTGCCCAGCAGTGGGACGTATATAGGCTGTAACTTTACTTTACTTTAAGCTATTTTTATTAAACTGTTATCAGTAAGATGCTGCTGCCCATCTCCTGGGTCAGTTTCTTTCAGTTTCCTTTTACGATACCTATGGAATGATATGTGGAAGTGGATATTCCTACACCACCGCTACACGGTGAAGTAGCAAGCACAGTGTTGGGAAACCGCCTATTAGATGGAGTTGGCACGACAAAACAGTAGATAGTCGATAGATGCAGATGGCTCAGGACCGTGCTTTGTGGCAATCTATAGCCTGGGAGGCCTATATTTATTTTTTATGACAGCGAACCTAAAAATTGTCATATTATCCCTTTATAATAAATGAGATTTGAGAACAAACAAGCACAGCAATTCTTCGCCTTCCCTATTCCCACAGCGGTGTTAAACCGGTCGGTCACAGTAACGGAGCGATTTCCGGACGACGCGGCGTCTAGCCCAACGTGCCTTCGCCGCTTCCAGATGCCGGTTCTGGAATTATTTAAAGGTAGCGACCCACATTCAAGCTTAGATGATCCGGCACAATGCGGCGCGGGTCGATGTGCGCGCGCCGCAACAGGTGAACCCTGCGGACCCGGCGCGACGACGGCCTAGGCGACGTGGATGTGGCATTCTATTTTCCATTGTCCTATATTTGCGTTCGCAATTTTAGAACTGACCTGGGCAACAGTGCCTGCATTCCATTTTTATATATATCTTTTAATAAATTTTAACAGATTTTTATAGCAGATATTCAAAACAGAATTTCCTAGATTGAAGATTGATGAAAATTGGAGATTTTTTTACTATTTTGAGTTATATGTATGATTAGGAAAGTAATACTGCCCGATTCCTGTATCATTTTCTCTTTGTCGTGTCATGATGCACTCACCCATGGGACATTATATGGTAGTGGACTATGTTACGCCGCCACTATAACAGGTGAATGGAATAGAAACCTATGGCATTGATATTTTACAATTATGTTTTATTTTACATTAAAATATTATGAAACTGATCTATCAATAAATAATACTAATTTAAAACGTTCGGTACAAAATAAATCAAATAAAAACTATTGAAATTAAAATAATACGTACCCAATTAGTAGTATATATTGATAGGTTAATTTCATAATATGTAAATGTAAAATAAAAAAAAAATCGTAAAATATCAAATCCATAGGTTTCTATTCCATTCACCTGTTACACCCATTTTTTTTCTAGACGAGAAACATAAAGAACGTAAGGTTGTTTCAGTCCTGGTCCCATACCTAGAAGAACTGATACTTACTACAACCTCTAAAAATTTCTATCTGTCGAAAACTATAAGGTATTTCTGGCATTTCACATAGTCTTTTAAAAAATAATTGTGTCGTAGATAATAAGCATTGAATGTCATGAATATTTAAAACGTTTCTTTATATATATGAAATAACAAACGAAGTCACAGTTCATTGGACGGTAAGTACTGCGGACTATGTTGTCACCTCTAAGAACTAAGACGGAGGGCCTCACAGCCAGTAATTATAGTGCCTCTCTATACACTTCATAACGGAACAAAACTTGTGCACGCACCACTACTTGGCAGCACAAAATGGCTACCAACTAGCAAAAGATTACATGGTTTGTTGATTTTTAAGCAAGCACTCTCTGTAAATTGCACCAGGAACGCGGGTTCGATCGCGATGAAATTGTTAATAGCAGTTTAATTGCTGATTTACTACGTGCTCGGCGGTGAAAGAAAACATCGTGAGGAAGCCTACATAAATGAGAAATGTCCAGCTTACATGAAAGAAAAAAAACCGAAGACAAGTGAAGTTCGCCAATACGTATTGGGGCAACGCGGCGGATTTCCTTGTCCTTAAAACCTTCTCAGAAGTGAGAGAAGGCTGTGCCTAGCGGTGGGACGTATATAAACTTTATCTTTATTGTTCTTTAATGATGTTTTTGAAATTTATTCATCAGACTTAGAGTTTAGATAAGTTAGAAACGTAAAAAAATATATTTTTCAATTTCGTTTTATTATTCAATATACGCCGTGTGATTTCAGGCCATAAGTGTCGCAATAAACGACTTCGAGAAATATTTACGTCCCTCCTAATCCCTTCTCGCCACAATTGCAAAGACTCACGTAGACTAGATACTTAATAAAAATTCATGTCATTTATTTGAATAGCGAAAGCTATTGGTATGAACTTTGTCTAACATAACTCTGAGCTTATTATAGTCTTTGTTCCATTTGAGACACATAAAGAAGATAGTACAAGCTTGTTACACCTTGGTGATAGATTCGACAAACGTTTTGCGAATGTTAGCCAAAATTTCGCTACCTCAATCAGTAAGTTATGGTCATCTCTTCACTGGTCATTTAGTCTCCTCACTTATTGAATACAATAGAATAATAACTAATTCGTCATATTATGTTACAATAAAGTTATATTATATTTCGCTTTATAAGTTTTCTGAGTGTTTCTGTATAGTGATGTATTTTTCTTGTAACAACTTTGTGTTACATTTTAGGTATTCCAACCCCCTCAAGCCAGATGCTGAAGTACAGTAGATTTCGCAAAAGAAGAAAGCGGCTAAGAAACCAGCTAATTTATTAAAGACAAACACAACAGTTCCTAAGTCCAAGAAAGGAGTTGAACTATTCGAAACCGACTCACAATCTGAGGCTACATATACATCACCATCGCTCGCCCAAGCTTCGACTAGCAAGAAACGAAAATTAAATGTTTTTCCAGATTCTGACGTAAGCAAATCTTATTTAATTTTAGATTAGATTAGATAGAGAGAGATTTAAGGTTTGAGTACCTAATCAATCAATAATAATATCATGGTATGATCATCATTACATGTTAATTGCATACATAGATATTAATTTTTTTTAATTATTACTTAAATAATTTAATATGTAGCTGTTTGTTACATCATTTTTTTTTAAATTTAGAATAAGGTTGATGAACGTGCAGACAGTCCACCTGATTGTAAGTGGATGCTGTGGCTCATAGACAGCTATATTTATCCTCGATTAACAATCGAAATGCAGATGTGTTGTCACCCCTGAAGAACTAAGATGGAATGCCACATTTCCAGGATCCGAATCTTAACAAAATTTTAAAATTAATTCACCATATAAAACATGATATGAAACATTTGGATGCTATTTTGTGCTAGTATTCTGTGAGAGCGTGGTCCTATCCCTTTCGAGCCGACCCATGCGTGGTACTACTATCATATGATATTTCGGCTATACCTATTTTGTGAGAGGCTGAAATTACAGTGATGATGACTCAATAAAACATTTAATCGTTTAATTTATATTTTTAAACCATTTTTAATTTGCCGACACCAGAAAAGGGCAACACTGTTTGATTAGGACTTTATAATTAGAGGGTTGACGTAAACGCGTTCAAGCCGGACCGCCCACCTATCTAAATTTGTAATTTAAAAATTATTTCGGGGCAAATAGAATTTTCAGAGATTATTTGGCTTGGATTTACGTTAAGCAGAATTCTATGTCACAGCACTTTCAGTCGTAGATTCTCGAATCAAACAGGCGTACACTCGACCCGACGGTAAGTGGATTCAGTGTAATATCATTTCTGTCGAATCAATTCGACTAAATACAAATGTCAAACATTAAACTTATACGTGGTAGAGCCATGCTGCCGTTATATTAGTAGTATAGTTGTAGCACGAATGGGTCGGCTCGACCGGGGAAGGACCACGCTCTCACAGAATACCAGCGTGAAATAGTAGCGTAGTGTTTCGATGTAACATATTTATCTATTTTAAGTCAATCCTGTGTTTCTCAGACAAATGAATGTTCTGTTCTTATGAGAAATAAATTTCTTAAACCATAATGCTGCTGTGTTTCGCATGATGAGTGTAGAGAACCGGAGACGTTTCTTACAGGAAAAGAGGCATTCCATCTTAGTCTTCACGGGTGACAACGCATCTGCATTTTGATTCGTAATCGAGGATAGATGTAGATGTCTGTGGGCCACAGCAACCACTTACCATCAGGTGGACTGTGTGCTCGTTTGTAACCCTGTCCTATAAAAAAAAACTTTTAATAAAAAGGAAAAACTGACTACATAAAACAAAGAAGAATAAAATAATTTCACAATGTGAAGTCAGCGCTAAGATAAATTCAAACACGGTGGTTTCCTCGCGACATATAATATATGTATGTCAACATACATACATTGACATATTATATGTATGTACATTGAGTTGCACCAACCGGCAAGTGGAGTGGAGGACATAATGAGTCACTCGAAATAATGAGTAAAATGGCTGTAGTTAAATATGACATTAAACGTGCATTATGTAAATCATCGTAATAGTTTTACGTTTTTGGCATTTATATTCCCTATAAGTCTGTCCAGATTTGTAGTTAATATATGAAACAAAACACATAATTATCACACCTTAAATAATACGTAGTTTTATATAATTTTCATATTTTGCGAAAAGATCTGTAGCTAACAGTCGGCTATACGAATGACTATTATTAAAAAAATGTCGAACTAAATGTTACCTGTATCCTGTATGGACTGATTTTGTATTTATTTACTTCGTTTTTTTATTTTTGTTATTTGCAGGTTTCTATGGTCAGTATCTTGGTAAGTGTAGCGTCTCTTTTTCACTACCCCGTATAATTTCACTGCAGTACATATATGAGCCCGTCCAATTGTAGAAAGGATTTGTGGATAGCAGTACCAGACTCTTCGTTCCCGTTACTGGTGTGGATATTTTTGTCCTTTTGGCATAATCCTATAGTCGCCGCTCGCGACACCTATCGAACTAAATGCGGTGTTGGATGTTCTTACGGCGCTAATGATGATGAATTTAAAAATAAGAATTAGAAAATAACTTTTTGCCCATTTTTATGCTGTGTTTTCTGTTTTTATTACTTTATTGTGTTGAAATAACGCAACGATAATGTGAAAACTCGTGACAAAACGTACATCGTACGTACAAACCATTGAAAAAAATATTTTGTCCATGTCAATATAAATTAATATTTGTATCGTTGAACATCAAGTTAGTACCAAATAGAATGGAACATAATATAATAGAATAATTTTCATTCAATATTCATAAGAATACTCAACGAAAGTCATTTTTGCCTTTACCACTGGTTCGGAAAACCAACAAGGAACACCTAACAAGACTTTTTATAAAGATTAATTCATAATAAAGTATGTCCCATAAATAAATATGAAAACATTTAGAAAATCGTGGTAGCGATCACCTCATTCCCATAGGTTATTATTAATCAAGTACTTACCCTTTAGAAGTACAATCAACCTTATTAAGAAATTTTGCTTAAAACATATTTTTGAAAGATAGGTCTTTCTTAATTTCTGGAGTGGGTTGGTGGTCACCTACTCTCTAATAACCTAAATAACACAAACCAATAAGAGAGAAGTCGATTGCGTGCATACTCAGTAGAAAATAGTTTGTGATTTAATAACTGGCTGGATGCAATCATTGAGACAAGTGCGGACTGGTAGAGGAAATTCAATACAGCCGGAACGTGACTAGAAAGCTTTATCAATGGACACCTTTGTTTGGCACGAACTTGCTCTGCTTGTGTTTGTG